AGACATGTGCTGAATATTGTATATCAGCACACGTCTCAATATCACTGACATAGTTGTTTATTCATGTTGATGTCACTTAACTCTTACTAAATGTTAAGGGGGCCTTATGAGGCTCGTCTTCAGCTTCATATTTGTATTTTGTGTCTCTACTGTGACATGTCTCCATGCTTTATTGTTCAAAAAGGTCTTTATTTTTCTCACACTGCCTGTGCTGCAGCACCTCTTTTCACCCTCTGTCTGAAACCAGAGCCCAGTCTGCTCTGATTGGTTAGCTGACCCGGCTCTGTTGTGATTGGTCACCCGCATAGAGATGTCCTGACCATTAGCCTATCAAGTATGATGTGTTGGAGCGCTAGCCAATAGGAGGGCGAGTGTTACATGGTGATGTCATTATGTAACGGAAGTAAACAAAGGAGTCCTATGGAGGCGTTTCAGGCAGTGGGGTAGTGTGTGGGAGAGAAACTCAACTGGAGGAAACCATTTACATGCACTAAAACCTATATTACACACAGGAAAGGAAAAAACCCCAAAAGTGTAACAGAGCCCATTTAACTGTTCCTAAATGTTAAATGGAAATCATAGAATCTTTGACTTTCTGTACCGTGGCTTTTATTTAGCCAGAAACATTCTGTTCCCTTTTAAGTACTTCAATGCTTCAGGCTACACAAATGTGTTCCTTGTTGCTAACATGTCACCTAAATTTGTATCACAAAGCTAGTGTGATCTGCAATGCAAGCGTCTGAAGAGAAGACAACAACAGTGTTTGTCTGTGCTCGCATGCTGTCTTTCATTGTCATGGCAGAGTATTTTCTTTTATAGAGGGAATGTTTCAGGCTTTAATATATCCAATATATTTTAGATTGCACTTAAGAGTCATCCTCTTTGATCAAGGGCCTTTTTCACGGCAGACATTTTGTCATGTACCTGTAGCAAAAGCACAGGTTTTAATAATGGCTCAGTTGCATTTAGCTATTTCAGTCTTAGGTTCCTTGCATTTTGCATTTTGGACCACTTCCACACTGCAATGGCTTACAGGGACACTTTAATTTAACAGAGCCATTGCTAACGTTATTAGTTACACTCTTCCTGCAATAATAAGTTAAAACGTCTACTGTAAAAAGGGTCTATTAGCCTCCAAGCTCAGAAGGATATTCTAAGTAAAAAAGCTGTTAAACTTTCATAAACTCAAAGTCCATAACAAACTATTCGGTGATGCTGGCCGTGTCTTTTTAAGCCTTGAGGCATTACAAAGTCATTACATAAATCATTTGAAAGTCAACAGCTGAGAAGCCCAAATATGTAAAGCTGACTAAACCGCGCATCATTCCTAACGGATTTCAATCTAACCTAATTCGGTTTCAATTCAAACCACCCCCTCGTGTATAAATATTGATTTTATTCCAGAATAGAGCATTACTTCGGGCAGTTTTTCTAATAGAAAGTACTGGATGAGTAAATGTTGCCTGGCAACCGAATGTTAAGTTAAAGAAAACTGACCTTTTGTCTAATGCTACAGGATGAGTGCACACAATATGCACTGACAATGATTTTGCATATAATAAGTCTTTCTGACAGTGACAGCAAATGTTCTTTTCATTACAGTTCTTGGGCAGCAGGTGACCTAAATATGATCACAGAGAAGATGCAGCAGGTAGAGTTAAGGCAGGAAAGCGAGTAAACAGGTACCACAGCCTGAAGGCAATATTCCACTCTGAGATTTTTATGAAAATACTAACCTAGATATTTACTGAAGTGCTAATAAAGGAATGAGCAGCAGCCGTGCAGGCAGGTGGCTGCAGACGAGACATTCAGGGGAGGTCAGCGCACGGAGGAGGAAACTGGTGGACAGGTGGGTTTCAGACGTGTGTGGAAAATAATACACTATGAAGAGAATTTGAAGCTGTAGGTGGGGGGGTGCAGGCATCTCCATGACAACGTTAGACACCTTCAGTATTGTTCTATCGAAGCTGATGTGCACAGAGCTGCATATTGATTGTGCCTGCCAGACATGGCTGGTGCAGATTGGAAAGTGAACATCCTACTGTCAAGCTTTCATGTACCTCAATTTATTCAGTGATCGTGATGTTTTGTTAAATTATTGTTCCCTTGTATCTTGTCTTCAATATTTTCCCTTGAGGATTTTGCAAATGGAGCAAGAACAATGTCAGACGTAAGCTGACAATAAAGTATTATCGTATCTGCAGTAAAGTACAAGGACTAAGAGTGAAGGTGTTGACACTCTTTTCTCAGCAGTTCCTCAACTCTCTGTCTTCAGTGTCAGCTAAGGGTCAGCAGGGTAGACTATGGTTGTGTTCCTGCTGTGCAATCAAAGATAACAACAATTATTTTTGACTTCAGCTCAGTAGCAGGTAACAGCAGCCTCCTGAGCAGCAGCAGCTCTGTGTGGAGCCCACGGGGGGATCATGTACAGCAGAGTGCACACGGCCCCATCCACCTGCTGCTGACCTGTGTCTCTGCCTATTGTTGAGTGACTGCTACCAGATATGTGTTAGGAAAACTGGCCATGTGACTGACATTTTTATATGTGAGGTGGGGGCTGTGGGGAAGGAAGTGTGTGGTTACTTTTGTAGTCGCTGCCCACCTGCTGTTTACTGGAACACATGGTTATGAAAGTAGGAAACTTCTTAACATTCAGATGTCACTGCATATTAAAGTGCTTTAGTTACTGATTTCAGTGATTATATATAATGAAACTGTACATAGTTTACACATCAACGTTTCACTGACTTTCAAACTGACTTTCTTCACATAAATTGCTGTACAGAAAGGGATCTGGGCAGAAAATGGAAAATCTGTGGGTGTGGAGTTAGAAAGAAGTGAATTTAGCAGATCTGTGTAGCCCGCTCCTCATCTCTGCTTGAGGCTAGCAGCCCAGGATTACATTGCTGAACTATGGATACTCTTGCATTGTGGATAGGTGCCAAGTTGTGAAGAAGAAAGAAGAATGTGTGGAATAAAACAAGACACAACGCCTGAGCTTTCATGTATGGTCGTTTATAAAGAATGGACCAAAACACAAGGACTGCTTTTGAGTGCAGAAATAGCATTTTCTTATTCTAGTGGGCCTTGTTAGACTACAGTGATAGACAAAATGTGTGTCCCGCCTGTGAAAGGCTGTCAGGCTGCACAATCTAACACATGGAAGTGTGTGTTGGCAAAGTACATTGCTGCCTTCCACAGTGTCCTTTCTGATCCAAACAATGGGTTTATTAACAATCTGAGATGTCCACATTTTGTGCTTTAAACTTATTTTAAAGGGGCTTATTTTCAGAGAAAGAAAACTCCCTCTGGAGGGAACTTTGAGATGTTATCCTTTGCAGACCATGCACAAAAACCTATATAACACACTACAAGAAAATGAAAACCCCAGGAAGCATAATAGGGCCTGTTTAAGGAATATTCTGCTAATTTTAAGCCTGTCTTCTACCGTTCAGAAAGTTAATTTAATTCAGCGGCAGGTTGGGTAATGGAAATATTCATCTCAGAGCCGGGTGTATTGTAAATGTGTGGAGGAGAGGGACTTTAAATCTGTCATGAAGTCATCTGCAACAGTAGCAGCTGTGAATTTAAAACCCTTTAATACTGTCTCCTTATATCTCACAGTAATAGATGTGTCTATTATTACTTTGTAACTGATGAGTAGGGCCCGGCACATTTCTGGTAACATTTGTGTTTCAATGTTTTTTCAGGGACAATTGTGTCAATGAGCACATGTTGTGTTTCATTTTAGTGACATAACCAGCACATATTGAAGGTCAGGGACCTCCTGATGTGTGAAACAGTTATAGTCCCACTGCTCAGTGTTTTAACACACTGTCAGCCTCACCACTCAATAATGACGATGTTATTGAATATGTTTCCTGGAGTTTCTCTCCACCATCCCACTAGTTGGTATTTCACAATGGACTTTAAAAGGATTAGCACTCTGGCTGCCAACAGCCACCAGCAGACGGAGGGGTGAAATTGTGTGTGTGTGTGTGTGTGTGTGTGTGTGTGTGTGTGTGTGTGTGTGTGTGTGTGTGTGTGTGTGTGTGTGTGTGTGTGTGTGTGTGTGTGTGTGTGTGTGTGTTTGTGTGTGTGTGTGTTGTTGTGTTTGCTGTGTGTGTGTGTGTGGTGTGTGTGTGTGGTGTGTGTGTTGGTGTGTGTGTGTGTGTAGGTCCGTGTGTGTTATATGAAACCCATAGGCAGGTCTGGCTCCTCTCATATAAGCCTCATGCCTCAGAGACTTATGAGATGATGTGATGGACTGGGCTTTTGTGGTGCACTCAGTCGTAGCCTTCTGCTATGGCCAGTGACCTTGTCAGGCATTTACTCAAAGATATACTGCGCCATATGATACAATCTGTTGATTGGATTGTTCATTGTCACTGTCATATTTTATTTAGCATCTTTACATGCAGGTATTTTCTTCTCCAGAGACTTTATTTGTTGATATTCTACCTCCCCACGGTGTATACATGGACCGTTTTGTGTGCCTTTTGCAGTGCTAATAGCTGTTTAAGTGTTTTGAGAGGCTGCAATGGTTTTCCTTTTTTATGCATTTTCAGTTGTCTCACTATGAGGTCTGATGAAAACAATCTGTTTCCAATTTAACTGTTTTCATTTACAATGCATGAAATAGCTAGAGAGCAAAACAACTGTCAAATATGAAATTGACTCACAGCTATTCCCTTTTTGTGTGTGCTGGCATATGACTGCTTGTGAGGTACAGTCCCCCCCATTGTAAATCGAACTGTTTCAACTGACTAAAGACTCAGTCCTTTGAGAATTAACTTGAGCTCCAGCTTTAATTTAGCTGCTGTGCCGGGTCAATTATATTTTATAATAGTAAATCCTCTCATTTGGAGTGTTTGGAGGGGAATTGAGTTCAATTAATTTGTCTCACTGTTGTTCTCCTTGTCTCTCCCTCTCATTCTCTCTATCCTCCCTTTTGCCCTCCCGTTCTCTTTTCTCTTCCCCTCTTCTCTCTCTTCTCTCAGGTGTCTGGCCCAGTGATTCAGCCCCGGACAGGAGCAGGAGGAAGCCGTGGAAAGGAGGGCCATGGGGGTGAGTCTGGGCCAGGATGTAGGCTGGCTCCTGCCTTTCCTGTTCTTGCTTCTCATGATCACAGTGTCACCCAGCCATGCTCAAGGATGTCCCCAGCGTTGTGATTGCATTGCGAAACTCAAGACTGTGTCCTGTTTCGGTAAACGCCTTTCCTCACTGCCAGATGGCATCCCAGGGGACACCAAGACCCTGGACCTCACCGGGAATAAACTTCGCTGGGTGGAGCATGGTGACCTGCTCCCATTTACACGTCTTGAAAAGCTGGACCTGAGTGAGAACATGATCAGTGTCCTCGAACCGAATGCTTTTTCTAGTCTCCAGAACCTCCAGTCACTTTCACTGAGGAGCAACCAACTGAAGCTGGTCCCCATGGGGGCTTTCTCACGTCTCTCCAACCTGACTTCATTGGACCTCAGTGGGAATAAGATTGTAATTCTTTTGGACTTTACTTTCCAAGATTTGAAGAGTCTGACAAATCTGGAAGTTGGAGACAATGATTTAGTTTATATTTCCAACAAGGCCTTCCTGGGTCTAGTGGGGCTGAAGGAGTTAACCATTGAGCGGTGCAACCTGACGTCTGTGTCCAGCCAGTCTTTGTCCTACCTGCAAAACCTGGTGACTCTGCGTCTGCGCTACCTCAGCATCTCCAGCTTAGAGGACCAGAACTTCCGTAAACTGGGAAACCTGAAGGGCCTTGAGATCGATCACTGGCCCTTCTTGGAGCACATTGCCCCTCACAGCCTGCAGGGTCTCAACTTATCTTGGCTGTCTATAACTCACACTAATATAACCACTGTGCCCACCTCCGCCCTACGCAGTCTGGCACATCTCACCAGCCTCAACCTCTCCCACAACCCCATCTCTGTGCTGGAGTCCTGGGCGCTGCGGGACCTTATTAGGCTGAAGGAGCTGCATCTAGTAAACACAAATCTGGTGGTGGTGCAGCCATATGCGCTTGGTGGTCTTAGGTCCATCCGTCTTCTTAACTTCTCCAATAACGGCCTGGTGTCCCTGGAAGAGGGAGCCTTTCAGTCCGTCAACACTCTGGAGACGCTGCGTTTGGACGGGAACCCTCTGGCCTGCGACTGCCGCTTGCTATGGATCCTCCAGCGCAGGAAGACCCTTAATTTTGACGGCGCCTCCCCAGTGTGCATGTCACCCGTGGAGGTGCAGGGACGGGCGCTTAACGCTTTTTCCGACTCAGCTCTCTTTGATCACTTTACCTGCCAGAAGCCCAAAATCCGCAACAGGAAACTGCAGCAGGTTACTGCCCGTGAGGGACAGGTGGTGTCTTTCATTTGCAAAGCAGAAGGTGAGCCGGCACCGATGATATTCTGGATCTCTCCTCAACGCCGCCGCATCACCACAAAGAGCAGTGGCCGCCTCACAGTGTTACGAGAGGGCACTTTAGAAATACGATACGCACAGGTGACAGACAGTGGGACCTACATCTGCATAGCTAGCAATGCTGGTGGCAATGACACCTATTTTGCCACACTTACAGTCAGTGGGCTGCCTCTAGATGCAGCTCTTATGGCCAACCGCACGTATTATGCTGGAGACCTTAATGACACAAATCTGAATGACACCAGAGTCTTCTTGAAGTTTACTTTGGACCTACAGACCATCCTCATATCCACGGCTATGGGCTGTATCATGTTCCTGGGGGTGGTTCTGTTCTGTTTCATTCTGCTCTTTGTGTGGAGTCGAGGCAGAGGGCAGCACAAGAACAATTTCTCAGTGGAGTATTCCTTCAGAAAGGTGGATGGACCCGCTGCCAGTGGAGGGCAGGGTGGGGCACGCAAGTTCAACATGAAAATGATTTGATTATTCTGGACTGTTTCTCTCATTAGTGTTGTTTACAAGCAGTTTCAAGCTGAAGGGACAATAAACTGGATTAGACTTTGTGCTTGAAAATCATTTAATACTGTTATTTATAGGACATTTTATTGAGGAAAAGGTTTGTTACCAAAACTACTGTATACACAGTATGAGATCAAGAAAATCTGCATGGATTTGATACGTGTATTTCTATTGCTTAGTTGTGCGTTGTCATTTATTTGCAGAAGAAACCTGGATCATTAATGTGTAAAAGATGTCTCGAATAGACTGTTAAAAGGAACAAAATCAGTCCCACCAGTTTTTAACCTCGACAAATCTCTTGCCAACTCCATCCTCCTGCCCTACAAGGAACTCTGTCCCCTTCATCTCGCTGCTCCATCTGAGGTGATGCAAGGTCTCCAAACTCATGAATACATTATAACAAGGTGGTGCTCAATGAATGCCAATAACTTGCCAATATGTATTTGAATAGTTCCAGCTATATACTGCATATTTAGACGTATTTACAGTCAGGACTTTAGAGCACTTTTGTCACATAAATACAAAAGCGCTTATTTTTTGCTGATGCTAGGTTTGTATAGATTACATTATAATCTGCAACACTGCCAATTTGACTGGAAAAACACCATAAAATGTGGTAAAGGGAAGTGACTTCTCATTGGATACCACTAAACGTTGGTCCAAGCCGTTTTAATCACAGACAGCACTCTGCCGGTTAGGTTTTCAATTGTTTATTCAGTACACTGTTCTGTCCTCCTGGTATAAAAAAAAACGTTTGTAAAAGAAAAACGCATGTACAGAGTTGGCTTCTTACTTTGTGTATCATTTGTATATTTAAGACTTGTTGGGATGCGTTCATCCCTAAGCTGAGTTGTATAGGTAGAATACATATATATATACTGTATAGGATGTATTATATGTTTTGTTATCATTGATATACTTGTGATTGTTTAGTACTGTGATCAAACCGATGTTTCAATTCTACTGTAATTCTACCGTTAAAATATCTTTTTGACGTCATTGATGTCGAATCCACCTTATCATGTCCTCAAATCCCTGAGCTCACAGAAAAAATCATGAAGGGCGTTTACATCAATTTTCCGCTCACTTGTCTATTTTTGGTTGTAGATGACAGTGGGGAACCAGAATGACCAGTGAGATGTTAAGTGGGTTCTCTTCAGGACTTTCAGTCACGCAAGCGTACAATTAAAATACAATGAAGGTCATAATGTAACAGAGGGAGGAGAGCTAGAGAAGGTGACATCGCTTCAATAAAACAAAGGGCTGGATGGTAACTTGTAACAACATCCTGATAAACTGCAAAGCATTTTGTAAAAGTAACAATGGTTATGTAGATGATTCCAAACTGTTTCAAATATATTGATTAAAATAATACAAAGAATGTAAATCAGTGTATTTTGTTCCTTAGGATTAATAGTTAGTCCTGGCACGTATAGTACAGTTCAGTAGGCCTACATGTGTCAGTGTTGGGCCTTGCAAAGCAATTTGTGGTAGTTTCAATACTTTATGAAAGGCAGGAACTGGGAGTAATGCAGTGTCCTTCATAGTTCAGACAAAGCTTAGTGAGAGTGAGCACAATGAGTTCCTGTTAATATTCTCACCTCAAATAATATCTCGGTCGGAGTTAGGAACAAATATTCTGCAGCTGTAACAGCGTTACTCTGCTGCCCTCTGTTGCTCAGAGACAGTACTGAAGTCTACACTTTTAATGGAATTTGACCTACAGTACCTACCCAGCAGTATTTAAAAAATAAATTGATTCCTTCCTTGGCCTATGCTCTTTCACTAAGTTTCATGAAAGTCTGGCAGGTATATTTTCCGTAGTCTTGCTGACAAACACACAAACAAACCTAAAACAATATTTGTTCTTACACATGCAACGCACAACAATTTTAACAGATTAAATTCACAATATGGACATAAAGGTGGGGTAGGTAATTTTGGAGAAACCAGCTCGAGTGCGCTAGAATTTAAAAATACACAGCCGGAAAAAATCTGCCACTTCGTTACAGAGCCCCTCCTCCAACATATACGAACGCGCCGAACGCGCACATCAACAATGAGGGCACAAGATAAATTTGTGAACAGATGGAAGGCTGACAGGCAGGTAGGCCATCCAGTTACTTTAGGCGGGCCAGCTAAAATGATTGGTCGTGCTTTTTACAGCGCTACGGCTTCCACAGATTACATTTTTTTTAATGGATTTTTTTGTCAAAGAATTTAAGATATTCATTGCTATCGGGATGTTAAGAGCATTCCATGGAATATAATAAAAAGTGTACCTAAAGGCGGTTTCTCAAACTTACCTACCCCACCTTTAATAATTATGAACTGTAAATATGTTACCAGACTGATTTGACATCAGTTAAGTTTTAGAAGTGTACAGTAAAACAACAAAATACTTTTCATTGTCCTCTTCTGATGTCATCCTGTAAATATGAAAACCATTGTGTCTGGAAATTGTGCTAGACTGTTTTGTATTGTACTGTTTTATAAAAATGAAGCACACTCTTTATAAAGCATGCTTAATGTCTGCCATGGTGATGTCTTTGCCCTGTCCCATTTTTATAGCAGTCATCACGCAACACCGACATATAAACATACACCTGTGACCCCGTCACTGTGAAATAGTGTTGCAAATTTGTATTTTATTTCCAGGAGTTCTTCATATTTAAATGTATTAATCAAATGGATGGATGTCCCATGTACATGCCACATTAAGATACACTTTCATGATTCACTCAAGTTAGTGATGTTTGTATAAATACTGCATAGACATTATGAGAAGAGTTATTATTGTTCATTTTCTATGCATTCATCATAACAAAAATTACAAAAATAAAACACATTTTTGTGAGCACATACAAATAGTGTTGCATTCTTGGTTTTATGTGTTTATGGATCCAGACTGTTCGTTTAGCGTATAAGTTGAATGTATTGCAATCAGTGTAACTTATAAAACTGAACTAAGCCCAGTGGGTGAAGTTAGTTTACAGTGTACTGATGTTCTGACTGGTAAAAGGTCACTAAAAAACTAATTAAAACGTATACACTTCAGCAAACATTGATGAGGAAGTAGAGTAAAAGAGGAAGATGCTCTACCCCCAGTGCCCTTATTTATATGTATCTAAATCTGTTCCAATGATATCATTTTTAAAGTGCATCCACCCAAATGTGTTTTGATTATTGTTTCTTACCTTACATGTTTACTTAAACTGTACTGAATGATGAGTCCCGCTGAGATCCAAGTCCAATATGCAACTTGTGATGTTAAAACTTGACTTAAAAATGACTACCAAGTAGACCTCATGGTCTAGTTGCATTCAAATATATGACAACACAAAGTCTCCTTCAGTCACAACGAAAGTCCGAGCACATGATTCATACATCACGATCATCAGTCAGCGACAGCTCGTGCCCTGTGGGTGGGGGTATTGCCACCATATGAACAGACCTCTAAGAAATATTTCACCAACTGAAGATGACACTATTAACTTTGTGTTGCTTTTTAATGACCACCATCTTATGAGACCAGGGGATCTAAATCAGGCCAAGAAAGGCCCCTCAAGGATTCACACATGATCCGCCCTCTTGGTGCTTGACACTTTAGCACCTTCCGACACCCGAATATGACTCATCTTAACATATTGCTTTTTCCCAACACCTCTAGCCTGTGGTTTTTGCACCTCTGATGCCTCGGGTGTCACTTATATCATCGCTTTCTTGTTGTCGTGATCCAAAATCAAGCCTTCTCGGAATATTTATGTCCAATATGCATATTTATGCATATTATATGATGTGGGGTCTTAATTGTATCATATCCCTACATTGAAGAATCTGTTATGATTCTCAACTCATTTATTTAAGTTTCTTTTAATGGAAAAAGGTAATATTCTAACAGCAAAAAATAAGAGATCATTTTGTTAATCACTTAAAATGTGTGAAAAAAGGTGCTAAATGTCTGAACATGATTCTTCTCAAAGCTGCACTTTTTGTAGATAAGAGACCATGAGTTGTTGCTTATGGCCACAGCTTTGTTTAGTTAGAAGAAACCATTTATGATGATTCACTTAATGATATACTCAATTATTGATGTGCATTACACTGCAGTTTTTTATTTAAATGTTACTCTCTGGTGAAGATTTCAAGAAACTCCCATCCTAGCTAGACATTTAGCCAAACTACATTAAATTTGATCAGGAAATTATTAAATTCTTCTTCTCTTTCACTGGAAATCACTGTGATTCCATTTTATTTTTGTAATCCTAAGTAAAACATCTGTAACTCCCCCCCTCTTTGTTAAGAGTTAACTGTTGTCTTCTATGCTGAGAAGGTTCAACTCTCTGAAGAGGAATTATCATGTGTCACCAACATTTCAGATGAACCACAGAGAGATGTGTCATCAACACGCATTAGAGACACATCAGAGTTTAAAATGTCATTATTACGATGGATTCATAATGTATTTCATTTACTTTGAGTAGATAGTCTCTCTTATTTGGTTTAGAGGGGAAATGTCAGAATGCACTTTAACAGACATAATCTCTACTTATCTATAAAGCTAGCTCCAGATATACATGGGAACATTGATGGGAAATTGAAATGATGTCACTAAGTGTGTGTGTGTATAAAAGGCTTGTGCCTGTGGGTAGTAATCACACCTTATGTGTTACCATGGTGTTGAACGTTGGTGGTCGAAATGGGATTGTAGTGGTTAGCAGATGCAGAACAAACTATAAACCTGAGAATAAAGCTTGCACATATTTCAAGACATGATCTGCTTGAAGATCAGTTGATATGCTGCATGCAATACATTTAGTCCTTTTAAATACACTGGATGATAATGAAACCAAATAAATCCCTCTTACTCTGATGTATTTCATATCAGCTGCTGATGAACCCCATATTTATAAATGTCTCTTTATGACTTACAGTTAGTTTTGCCATAATGACTTAAATGTCATGCAATTAATCTCGATTTGCAACTTAGACCCATCACACACTGTTTAGTTTTGGTTTCTGAACTCAGTCATTAGTTTCACAAGGTTCAGTGGTGACTGGTGAGGTGCAGTGAATTATCTGCCACATTAACGTGATGGTGAGGTTGCAACATTTGAATGAAAGAAATCTTGTAGAGAAGAAGTAAAACAGGTAAGTAAAGGATTTGTATCCATCAAAACTTGATTTATTTTTGTAGTTCATGGCCACTAAATGCAAAGATCCCTGGCCTCTTATAACTGAAAACGGGCCCAGACTTCTGAGTTTTGGTTAAAAAACATAAAGATAAACTGAGCAGCCTTTTAACATTGACAACAAAGATCAGCCAAATGCAGATTTAATTGCAAAAGGGCACTTACCATTTTCATGTTTTAACATGAATGTCTCATCTTGCATACCAGTAGTAGTAATGAACAGGAACAACACTGGATCACTGCCATGTCTTCATATTATAAGTCTGTTTAATAAGAAACATAATGCTCAGGGCTTCTGCTCTGGGCCCTTAGGGAGTCTGAGGTGCCAAGAGGGATTTCAACTATATTTATATCAACTTCAAGTTAACAGGATTTTAGCTTTCTTGGACTGGGATCTTACCCTAACAAAAGCATAATAATGCAGCATGGCCTACCCAGCAAGGACACAGCCTTTTTCAACTTCTATAGTCTTATGTGAAAGAACAACACAAGAGATATTATAGAAATATTTTAGAAATGTAGCCTATAACACGTCAATTCAAATTCTACAAGTTTTACATATGTTAAGTGGGACCACCTTTGACCAAGCCTATAGATAAAAGTAATCTTTCCCTGGTCCTCGCTTTAAAAAATACTGGCTTTTGGTAATCACAGAAAGCAGAGATTTGAACCACTATTAAGACGAAAGCAGTCACACCAACCTTTATTTGGCAAGCTTTGTTTTGGTAAAGTAACATTTATATAAAAACAAAAAAAGACAATGCGTATATTCAAATTATTTTAAAGAATCCTTCCGGATTACCATTTTATCACCAGCTATTTTAAAGCTATTGGGTATACAAACACACAGGTGGCTGTTTGATTCCCTACTCTACTCTTCACTGTAAACTTGTTTGAACACAAAATATACAGTATGATATCATATTCTTGAATACATAAAGGAAAATAAAAACTGAAACGCACTTTGCCGATATGGCGCTGGGTCAGGTGAACCCTTACAATTAAAGATGAAGACAACAACATTCTGATGAAATTAGCCTCGGCTAACACTTCCTGCTCCTCAGCTCACAGGCTCCTAACTGGGATTGCAGCACAATAAACGGTTTNAAAGTCACTTTTGGTAGAAACATTTTTTTCACTATTTTTACCCACGCCCTATGGGCACCCTAACTTTGATTGGCTCTCAAGGCAATTCCCAGAGGATTTGGCTGTGGATAAATCGGGAGGTGTTACTAGACACCTATAGGAACATATGGTAAAAAAAGCTATTGGTAATAAATTATTTCACGATATGGCTAAAAAAATACCTAACTTTCCCTAACTATTTGCCGATATGGCGCTGGGTCAGGTGAACCCTTACAATTAAAGATGGCGACAACAACATTCTGATGAAATTAGCCTCGGCTAACACTTCCTGCTCCTCAGCTCACAGGCTCCTAACTGGGATTAGAGCACAATAAACGGTTTTAAAAGATTTTCAAACATATAAAGTAGAAGACCAACATGTACAGTTTGGCCCTCTTCGGTAAGTATATACAGTATCTCACTTTGACTTAATTACAATAACATTTTCAAGAAGTAAAGATGCGTGTTCCTAGCTGTTAGCATTGTGAAGTGTATGCTAGCTGCTTTTTAGGAGTTAAACTAAAGGAGTTAAGCTAAAAACACGACACCTTCATTCGCTGAACTCTAAATGAGGTAGAAGCTAAGAGTTATAAAAACATACTAAATGCAACAGTTAAATATAAATAATTTAAGGGAATTAAAACAGTAGTTTGAGGGTACCTGTTTGAACATTTAGCACTCATGGTGTGTTTACCAAGACTACCTTCTCAGACTAACATCAACAACTTGTACCACCTTAAGTTAATTATAATGCCTGTAAAGGTACATCAATTGGCCTTGTAACATAGAAAATTACACTTTTAAATATGAGGTGTGGAAGAAAGACATTTGAATGATAAAATGTTAAACATGGAGCTGTTTTTATCATATCACGACTGTTTTAAATATCCAAAACACTCAATAATTTATTATTTTATTTTTCATTCCACATCCATGTACCGGTATCCCTCTATTTTCATGCAATATTATCAGCTCTATTTGATCAAATCATTGTTGTTACTTCCACCCCTCAGATTGTAGCTACCACCTCCAATTTTTTAAAACATGATAAGAAATGTTTAATAGTCCTGGTCTTAAACACAACTGTTATATATTTCTAAAACACTTAGTAGTCAGCTGCTCTCTCGTGCCTACACTCCAGAATTTCTCTGTGTTTGTCTCTGAGCGAGCAGCAATTTCGCCATCAGTGCTGTCAGGCAAAGAGCGAGAAAACAGCTGTAGCCCCGGTGTGTTGCTGACTCACAAAGAAACAGCCATAAGCGAGCCATAAGCTACAGTCTGTGTTACCTAAAGCAATAGCTTTACGGTTGGTCTCTGGACTATATATTTTCAACAAGCCTTCAGTCTCCCTGAGGCTGCAGAGCACTGAGGAGTTAGCCTCTGTATGAAGACAAAACTTCTATGTCCTTTTCTGTTGGGGAAAGCAAGTGAAATGGGGATTTAAACATTAAATGTTGGGTTATGGAGGAAGGGAGGAGAGCTTTTCTGACATTATTAACAATCGGGTTTGTAAAAAAACAATGTAGACTTCAATATTTAGTTGTTTTTAAGCTTTTAATGTTGTATACATATTTAACACAATGTCATCCCCAAGCTTATTGGAATATTAGAAGATTCAAACACACTTTATGTAGGAAGGTGACTACTTCTTCCCACACAGGAAACCCAAAGAAATGCCTCATCACCCTTCACTGTTTCCACTTTGAGGGAGTTGGCAAATGAAACCATGTGATGTCCTTTTTTTTCAAGTCAATGGATGTGTCTTTTTAAAATCAAAATAAATGTGCATTGTAAGATCTTTCAATTGTTAAAAAGGAAATGATTGTTTGTGCAGCTTGGATTGGTTGGATCGTTTTTAGTCTAGTCGAGTGAGCTGTAATATTTATAACACACAATTCGACATCTTGTAAACTTTGTCATTAGAGCGCTCGCAGAGAAAAGCTGAAGTAGCTTCAGAGCTCTATTTTTGTGATGCGTTGTTTGAACTTATACCTGAATGGAATCTATTTGAACACCTACTTACATTTTCTGCCGTAATGTTCTTAATGTGGCTGTAGTGTGTTACTTTGTAACAGTTCTTCTTTGAATGCATTATGCACTATTTATTAACAAAAATAAAGCTCTTAAATTACAGTCAGCAGGAAAATTTGACTGTAAATAAAGCGAAATTTAAGAATTTAGTTTCTCAGTCAATATGTAGAGTGGACAAACCTTTGTGTTTTTGGATAGAGAAGTTCCGATGGAATTTATTTTACTTATCGATACCTGGACTTTAAAAACTGAAATATATATATGATATATTTTAACAGCTGTATACTACTAATCCTATATGGCTGTGATCATTGTTGTAAAGCATTGCTCAGGTTAAAGCTTTGTAAAACATTTACAAAAACATACACAAAAAACAAATGCCAAACAACTGAATATTTTTCACACTCATCTCTGGTGAGAGTTGAATAAGCACAGTAGAGAAGAGGGCAGTGAGTTTAGCCATATTAGCTGATAAATGATAAGATAACATTATATCGTTTACTGAATGGACTCTCATACTCCACCAATAGCAGATCCAGCATTCTAGGCTGTAACCGAGGAATACGGGTGTCAGTATCGGAGCAACTCTAGGAATCGATTGTCAATCGGACATGTATTGTCTGGTTGGAGAGTAGTTTCTATCCCCTCTGGAGGTGATTTTGCCAGGTTGAGATGGCCAAGACCGGGACAACACCCCAGGGTCCTGCTGCTCCTCATCCTCATCTGAAGCAACTTTGGTAGGAATTGGCCTCAGGAGGGGAGCTCCAGGACGGGATGAGGGCAGGAGATCTTGAGAGAGGAGAAGGGGAGATAGGAAACCAGAACCCGTAGTACTGGACGCGTTCAAATATGAATAGCCTCTCATGGCATGGAGGGCATAAGCAGGGATGAAGAGAGGGTGAGGTGGTTGGTGTCTGGGCATCACAGGGTCTCTGCCACCCCAGTAATAGTCCCTCTGAAGGGCCTGGTGGTGTGTGTGCAGGTGGGGGTTTGGGTGAGCAGTGTAGGCTGCAGAGGGGACCAGGCCAAAGCGCAGTTTGATGGCCATTAATTCAGCACTAAGTCTGGTGTTTTCTTCTTTCATGGACAGGAGATGAGTCTCCAGCACATAGTCGTTCATCCTTCTCTTCTCCCGAGACCGCTTGGCTGCGTCGTTGTTCTTCTTTCGTTTCTCCCAGTAGAGGTCATCCTTCTTCTCGTCAGGTATGAACTCTCTTTTGCGACGAGCTCCCTTATGAAGCAATCCCTCTGTCACTTGTGAAATATGACCATCTCGGCCTCCATGTAAGAGTGACGACAGGGTGTCCATGCTAGATGCAAAAGGGAGTAACAACCAACCTGAAATCAAAAGGAAAGTTGTGAGTCTTCTGTGGGAGGTTGAGTAATACAGGTACTTCCGTCTTGTATAATAGTAACCTTATCTGATTTGCTTTTACCTCTTCTTATCTTGGTTTGCCTTCGATGAAAGCACCGTAGTATTTCTGAATGTGGTGACGGCTGAAGTCTGAGAGACTGGAGACACGTGATATCCACAGCTGTCTTTAAAAGGGGAAAAAAGGGTCATGATGAACAATGAGTCATGTTGAAAAATATTCCTTATGACGGCAACATTTCAACTACTGTATCTGATGGTTTTGAATGTAAACATGTAATTGGATTGTGTTGAGATAGAATAAGTCGAAACAGGGGTGATTTGAGCCCACACGTCTTCCGTCGCAGACTGAACATCCACATGCCAGGCCAATACATTTTTTAAAATCTTTTCTGTGCCTGTATGTCAAAAGGACAATTTTAGCAAGAAACCGCCAATGTGTAGAAAGTTAGCATGAGGTTGTGTTTTCTCTCAGAAAACCTGCAGAACCTACAACAGCCCACTCAGTTGCGCCTACTCTCTCTAGCACCTCCAGCATTCAAACCTCCCACCTTCCTAACCTCACCTCACATCACCTTCTACCTGTCTAGACCACACGAAAGAATGTGATGCAGACTGAGAAAATGTGTTTGATTATCAATATTCTCGTAAACATGTAGGTGTTTCTGCTGCAACATGCATAGTTAAATATGTCAAACAGAGGCTAATGTACTAATCTGCACCACAGGTTGTTGAGAGCTCACTATGCAGGTTAAGTTCATTCCAAAATATACTTAGAATTATGCAGAAACCTTGTCACTTTGCAAAGTAAATTTGTTTGTGTCATTTTTTGATATTCCAGATAGCATTTTGAGTATTGATATTGAACCTAGCATATGATTCAGTTGAGTGAAGTGGGGATACTTGAGCTTGTCTTATAGAAATGATATACAGGTTGTCATCAAGACTTTTCTGTAGTTGAGTTTGAGTCTAACAGTCTTTGTGTTTCTCACTTTATCCACCCAGTCACCACTTTCCCCTACTCCATCTCTTTTATCTACTTGCCTCTCCATACTCTTCTAAACTGTGGGTAGAAAAATCAGTCGGTAAAGGTTTGCCCGCAATGTCACATACGGCAGAACGTAAAAATCGAACTGGAAGACATTATTGAATAACGGGTCTGAGAGGAATGCATGAAGCTTCTAATACAATCTCTTTCATTTGCGTGGGTTTGTGGCTGGTTTCATGGGAAGCTGTGCACGAAAGATGAGCATTGTGTTGAAAACCACAGCCAGCCCCCTGTGTGCTTGCAATAAGCAGAAACTCACACTGACCCACACACACTTTACACTTACACACATGCCTTTTACCTCATTGATGTTCTCCTCAAACCTTGTTCTTAGTCTAACAACGGATAAAGTTAATTTCTAATCAGACATCATGCTGCACTCTATTGCAGCTACATGCGTCACCTCAGAAAGGAACTGTGAAATAAACTGTCACTCATGATTTCACACATGAGGAACCAAATCTCAAACTATAACCTCACAGTCTATTACCTCAAACATTATCATGCAGTGTCCTTTTTCTAAGTAATTTCTCACTTGTAGTTAGTTATGTGATTCACACTCAGTAACTTCTCAGCATATTCAAAGGCCTTAAAGTCAAATGTTGAAGTGCCAGTCGGTCTGCTAAAAGCATCAAAACAAAAGTTTCAAAGAGGCCATGCAGCCCCTGCGGTGGTTAGAACACACATCAGGTTAAAAATATTCAAGCATATGCCCAGCAAGAGCGAGGACCCGAAGCCCGAATGTGTTTGTCTGAGTGACATGTACACCTGCATATGCGTGACACAAAGACTTAGCGTTGTATGATGTGCTAGAAAACCCAAAAAAGCAACAGCAGGAAGAGAGAAAACAATAATCACACAGGGAGACAGACAGAGAGAGAAAGAAAAAAAGAGTGGGTTCCTGAATGAAATCTCTCTTGAGGCTCGGTCTGCTTTCTACTCTGCTCAACATGTGCACCTGTTTCTTATTGACTAATTATAGCCCGCCTGCTTTTCAGTAAGGAACTCTCAAACTTCTTCTTTTTGAGTCTATCCGTTTTCTCATACCTAACCATCTGCTGTTGTGCAGCTACTGTTAAAACAACTACCTTTTAGGAGAAGGAATTTGGTCATTTTGTGGCCTTCCCTCTTCTATGTTCATGTCTATTGTTAACTGCCATTGTGGAAGTTAAAGTACATCGGATGCTCTCTTGAGGGAATAACGTTTTTTCACATAGTTATTGACTAGAATGTTCGGTTAAACGCATCAATTCATTTAAGGGCATTGCTATTAATTCATAATTCAAACTTTGTCCTGCGCTCTTCATATATAGTAAATGGAAGGCAACATTGAAATATAACGTTTACTTTTGAAACTGATGGAAAAATACCTGTAATGTATTTACGGCATCATAAAAAGAGGAAACAAGTGTTTGTATGAAGACAATGTGGTCCTAAACCATCGTGTATTAATGCATGGTTGAACAGTTCACCATCGTTTAAAATATATTTAGCACTTTATTGAGTTCAAGATTCTGCTTTTAACCAATTATCCTAATTTTTTCATCAACATACTGTACTGTAGGAGGCTGATGTATACTTTGTTTTCTTTTAAATCATCAGTCTGACATGTAAAGCTCTATACCAGCTTGTCTATATAAAGGGTTGTGGAATTTCAAAAAGACCGAACTCCTTGAAATAGTCAAATAACTTTTGTAGCTTTTATTCGGTAAAGTACAAGAGCTGTTGTATCTCTGAGTTTGGAAAATGGCGGTTGCAGCATCTATAACGGTTATGAAAAATGAAACGCTGCTTCTCATGCGGTCTTTGCAGCCGACCATAATGTGAGACTTCGAACATTGGGTTATGCAACCAGGACCAAAATATCCTGTAAGAAACGTTTGTGACTTATGTGATACTTCTGCACAGATATTAACCCCAATAAGGCCCAACAACCAAAAACGTAAAATGTTCACTCATGTTGTGTGTTGGACATCGATGTTATGAACGGTATATTCTATAATAATTATCATTATCATCAAATTGGGATCAACATGCCTGTCACACATGGTCAGCTTTACTCTGACATCATTCTACTTTTCATCACTCGATAATACGGTGTACACTTTACACGACAAACTTTTGTGTTAGGAGCTTCTTCTGGTATCCTCAAAATGAACGTTGATTTCTTTTAAGATAATCTCAGATCATTTTTCAGTTGTAAATACATTTTAATCACTATTTTAATAGTTGAGTAACTTTTAAGGTAATTCTTCATGCAAATGAGAATACTTAATGTCCTGCTTTTCTCTGTTTTATGTCATTAAACTAAATATCTTTGAGTTTTAGGCTGATGAAACAAGACATCTAAGATATTATGCTGGACCTTGAGTAACTCATATTGACTTTTTTGACTATTTATAGATCAAATATCAAGAGTATAATCAATTGATTAACAATAGTTAGTTGCAGCTCTGCTAAACAACCCTTACCAGATAACAAGATAACATTTTGACCTTCGGTTTCCTTTTAATCCATCAAGATTGTTATGTTTCCTATATATTTTGAATGTTCAGTACTCCACCCAGTTCGTAATTTTATAAAAACATAATCAATATGTTACCTCCTTGTAATGTATCTTGATATTTACAAGGTAGAAACACTTCCTCTTCCTCAAACAATCATAAACATTTCCTGTTAACCTACTCTTTATTAATTGATTTTGATATTCAATACAAATATGAAATGTGAGAAGCTTCACTTATATTTGAAACAGTTTTAATGGTTATAAAAGTTTTCAAATTCTAACGCCAATTCTAACACCACTTTCAACGCGTGAGACCAGCTGCACAAGAGACTGATGAACACATGTGTGAAAAACATTCATCATCAAGTCACTGATACCTAAAATATCCCCTCTCTTGAATACATTAACTGACACACATTGTCCAAAATCCCTTTTGGTTTGAAAATAAACTCAAGATATTACCTTTTAGCTGCTTTGTGCAGAAAGTCCTCTGTCCGCAGAGGAGCCAACGACCTAATGCAGAATTATCTCCCTCTCACCCGGTGCTAATACCCAACTTAACGCAGTGAACTGTCCTTTGAGACTGCGTCGTGAGATGGATGTTCCTAAACAGGGGGGCTCGTAAACGCTTGTCGCTTTTTCGGTCCTACCCTCTCCTCTTCTTAGCCTTCTCTCAGTCTTTGTGTTGTTTTCCTGTCTTTAACTCTGATTGTCCACCTCTGCTGTCACATGAAAAGTGTCTGACTGGCCCCCTTGATCTTGATAGAGTCGTGGTGTCAGTGGCGTGCCCACACAGGGGTCTCACATTTGCTGAAACTGTCAGTTTAACACCTACATATATTGTGTATTGTATTATTAAATTACTCGAGTATACAAACTAAGTAATATACCATTATTTCATGAAGTAAACACATGCATTTTGTTTTCTTTGAATACAGTAGTTGCATTATAATGTGGTGTTTACAAGTAGAAGCAGCAGCAGTAGTAGTAGTATTAAAAGTAGAAGCAGTAGTTTTAGTAGGAGAATTAAAAGTAGAAGCAGCAGCAGTAGTAGTACAAAAAGAGTAAAGCCTATCTGAAATGAGTAAAGTGTAAGAACTGATATTTGTTGTGATAAGTTGTGTATGTGTTAAATAAATCTTTGCCACCTCAGATGAACAAAAAAGAGAAGTGTTTGTCTGTTATCAGTTAAGACGTCGGTGGTGTTGGGATAACTTGTCTGAATACTTAAATCCTCACTGATCTGAAGACAATGCAGGAAAAACAAAAATTCCCTTTGCAATTACAACATACTGCTGTCGTTACATTTTACTTTAACCCCCATTTTTACTTGTAGACAGTGTCACATGAAGACAAGTTAGATGTTTGCTTCCTGTTATGTGCTGAAGCCGTTTCAATTTAGAAAAAGAAAGCACCACCAGGGTTTAATGTGAACATGCTTTATTGTTGTTGTAGGGCACAGAGGTCGCAGTCTGATCTGTACGACTACAAAGAGATAATCAAACTCTCGTATGTTGCCCTGACACCTGTATGTGTTCAGTCTTATTTTGATTCAAAATGCCCCTTTCCGTCTGAGGGATGTATGTACAGTGACTGTGACAAAGTTATCTTGTAAAAAACAGAAAGTATATTACATCATTGTTCAAATTCAACTCCATTTTACATTAAACAAAGTGTATTCCTGAACTATGACCCAGAATAGATTATTGTCTTTGAAAACAGCAAAATGTGACATTAATGTGGTGTTTAAAAGTTTCAAAATCGCACAATAAAGTCTTTTAAAATCTTCCTGACATTCCTTGAGTCATGTTGCAAAGCTTATAGGACAGCAAAAACATGTTAAGGAGATTTTGTTTGCAATAACAAGTTCAATGTTATTTACAAATGATTTTGCACAAACCCTATAAAATGTTCTTTTTTAAAGACTCAAGTGACTTTCCCAAAAAGGATGACTATACCTTTCTAGTAGGGTGATAACAAAAAATCCTAATCATCATCAGATAAAATATATTTTGTTCCAACTCACCTTTTTTTGTTTGTATAAAATCCTTGCAAATCTTATATATAAAAAAAGGTATAAATACAAATATATATACTCATACATACGTGAGATGGGCAGAAAGGTCGTCCTGTTTGTGTTAACAAAAACCACGTATTTTTTAAATAATGTGTTGTAGCGCCATCTGCTGGTAGTTTCAGGAACATGTCCTTACAGAATATGACCTGAAAACCGGGAGGAATTAAATTAAACAAACACTACAACTAAACCTATAAGAACAGAAATAAGCAAATAATTCGAATGTTTTTACACAACTTTATGTAAAAACTTATAAGATCTGTTCATAATAATGCAGGCTTTCTCCGCTGTTTTGTTTTAGAGTGACAGGTCAAGAGAGAAGACTTTTCAAGATGGAATACAACTTTTAGTTTTTCCTTTACATACCAATATTGCTTTATGCATCTATATGGATATAGGCCTACATTTAAAAAGGCTGCAGGAATAACAGATATTATTTTTATGTTGGAGCATCACGCTATTTATTTGTTTTGACTTTGGAATTCATTTAAGCGTTTTTAAAGGACCTATACTGATCTTAAAGTATTCCTAACAATATTTCCTCAAGAAACATTTTCAAGAGAGGTGTTTTTTATTTGTAAGTGCTTTAAAAAAAAAAAAGAAGGTTTGTACGCTTTAGGACATTTTCTTATTGATTTCTTAAAATAAAGGTAGATATGAGCAGATGCAATTGAGGGAGGGTCTCGTGATGCTGGAGGTCTACAGATAAACGGTTTGATTTTCCGCAAAATCAAATTTTGCTGGGAAATCACGCAGTGGGGATAAAGGGGAATACCAAGCCAACAACAACCTAGTTTCGTTGGCTTTGTCAGCCTGTTTTTTTCACCGCAGATATAAACCGTAAAAAATCACATCATTCAATCTTAACCCCTAATCAACCCCATGTCTTGCTACAAAAACTGGAATGACTTTTGTTAGATTCTATTATTTTAAAGGCGCATTAAAAAGTGAAAACTTAAAATCTATTTTGGGTTTTTGACAGGGCTGTTTCATTCTTACAATACAACAGTCAGAACAAACACATTTGACTTGCAGTAAATTCGAATTTGAGACACGGATTTGATATTCTCTGCAGACTATATTTTGATAAATATGCACACTGTAATTTGCATGTTCTTCTCATAATGGCAAAAATAAAACATCGAATGGCCAGTTGCATTGAGGCTTGTTAAAATTAGCAGATGTAAAGCATGTTTTGCATCCATTGGCCTCTAAATAAACGGTAATAAGCGCACTGACAGTCGTATAGCGTCAATCAGGACTGAAATGCATCCTGTCTGCTGAAGCGGCCCTTGAATCCCCCCAGCTGAGTGTCTGCCTCCACACCGAGACCCTGGCCTTGTCTCTCCTGGATGTAGAGAGGCAGGCCGGGGTAGACACCCGGCGGTGGCAGGTATGAAGACCGCCACGGCAGCAGGAAATTATTGCACACTGCCGATGGATTCATGTGGGGCAGCAGCCAGGATCGAGGTGACCGGATGGAGGCATGGTGGAGGGGGTTAGGTGGGGGCAGAAAGGCTCGGGGGGCAGACGCATCGGTGGATTTGTGGATGTCGTCGCTGGAGGAAACCTGTCGCTGAGCATCCATCTCTGCCTCTGGAGAGAAGACACGGGGCCCTGAGAGGGGGGAGAAGCCTTGTGAGAAGAGGGAACTGTGTGGATTGAAACCACCCACACCTGTTGAGCTAAAGCGAGGAATCTTGGCCTCTAATGAAAATGCATTGCTGCCGTTGTTGCCCCAGAGCCTTGGCTGGAAAACGGCAGGTGATGAGGGCACATTGGATGTTGCAGAAGCAGATTTTCTCCTTTCTGCACCCAGGCTGCTGTGGTACTGCATGCTGAGCAGCTTAGCCCGCAGCTGGGTGTTTTCCTCACTGAGAGCCAGCAGCTGCCCATCCACCATCAGCTCGCTCAGCCTCTTCTTCTCCCGGGACCGCCTGGCCGCCTCGTTGTTCTTTTCCCGCTTCACCCAGTAGTTTGAGTCCTTCTTCTCGTTGGGGATCATCTCCCTCTTGCGGCGGGTCACGCTGCTGCTGTACCCCCGTAAGTTCAGGAGGTGTCGAGCCAGCACGGAGCGGGACTGGGTCACCGGGAGGAGGAGACCCGGGTCAGGCTCCGTGCAGCCGCTGCTCTCCACCGAGGAAGAGGAGGGCTGACACGGAGCCACGGCCCCGGGACCGGCACGGCTCCCCGGTGTTGACATGGCACTACAGGAAAAAGTTTAAACAACTTTTTTTTCTTTTTTTTTTATAAAAATGACTCCTTAATTGATATCTTAAAAGACACTAACACCTTTAATTTAATGAATATATAATGTAAACATTAACAATAATACAACTTTTTATTTTGAGTTAGCTTTATGGAAATTATAAAGGTAGGCTATTATTCTAATGCCATTGATTATAATACAAAACATTAAGTTAAAAAAGCAGCTACATTAAATATTGCATGTCTTTCAATGAATATAGCTCTATTCAATAACATGAACGATTTCAATTGGCTATGTTAAAACACAAATGTTTCGCCTGCATTCAACTTAATATTCAAGATTAGTACTTTTAAGTCTACTTTAGCACAATGTATAATTGCAGGATTTTAGCATTTAGTGAAGTTTTGCATTGTGGTATGTAGCCCACCTGAATGATTTGGGTACTTTTGCCCCCACTTAAATAATTATTTTCGGCTTAACCGAAAAGATGACTAGTGTCTTAGCCCAATATTTATTTTGAGACATGGTTACATTCAACCTCAAGTAAGCTTAAATAGCCAAAGTAGGCCAGTAGTTTGATGGCAGCAATGTTTTGTCTCAGACTCCCACAAACCAATGCTGAATGTTCGACAGTGTTACAGAGATAAACCCGCCGCACTGACCTGATTGATATAGGATGCCACCTGAGAGGATTTGGAGGAAAGGATCAACTTTGCGAGAGCTTCTTGTAATTCTGCAACACACACAGTTAAGTACAGAGTTTGACGTTGCACTCGATTACATTTTCTTGGTTATTAAGAAGTTTGTGGATGTTGAGACTGCGCTTACCTGTCAATCACAGACTGATCGGTGCTGAAGAGAGCAGAGCTGAGGGGTCGTGCGCACATTTACTGAAGACACGCAGCCAATCGCGTTGTTTCCTCGCGCTGTAATGCCGTGGAAACTGATCGCAACTTCACTTTGGAGAGCGGAAGTCCAAGACACGTGTGGCCACGATCAAACCAACAGGTGATACTGAAATGAGTCACTTTGGATCAGCTGCCCTACTTTTGTTTTTGTTGAACTATTGCACATTGATTCGCTCTTTAATCCGCACATTGTCTGCACAACAGTGCACGGTTGAAGCTTTATTTACTAAACTGTACTTATAACAGAGTTTACAAATGTGTTTGCATTAAAACCTGGGATACATTGGATTGATTGACGATGAATAAAGTAGTAATTTCAAATATCTTTTAAAATAATATACAAATAGGAAACA